CAAACTTATAGTCAAAAGTCTAATAACTTGCAATCTAGAACTTGGTAAATGAAAAAATAAGCTTTTTTTTCATTTTCTTCAAAGCATAGCATAAAAAAACGTCAACACTAATAAATTGGTAAAATGACTGAATGAATACAAGCTGTAGCTAATACCCAAGGCAGAAGTGCTCACTCCACTCTTCTAGAACTCCGCTAATTAATCCGCCGACTATAGACATTACAGCTAAACTTAGTTATAACTAACTAGTATAACTCGCTAGATTTAGCTATGTCTTGGCTATCATCATTAATTCCTTTGTTACTTCTACAACTTAGTACAAATATGCATTTTAGGGTCTCACATACCAAGACCAAGACAGTTACAAACACTCGATGATAATCTATGAGCAAAGTCTCTAGCTAGTTCAAGGTTTACCGTGTCGTTGTGCATGCATATCTTGACCTAAAGAAGCATGCGTGTGTCCCCAATCCAGCTTGATGGATTGTTATCATGTTCATTGAGAAACTCTCAACTTAGGCAACACTTACCTTTCGGAGACTTGAAAGACTTACAACTTTGGTATCTCAACAGCGTGAGGAGAAAATCAATTTGCATTCGACATATGCACATTTACTCAAAAGCTTCTGGGACTCTATATGTTAAAGATGCTAACGCTATCAACCTTGAAATTGAAGTACTTTCGGATGATCAGCAGTTTTCATTGAAGCTAACAAATATGCAAGAAATGTTTGATGACCTCGGCGGTTTTGTACTATATCAAATTCAAGAAGCTGTCGTTGAGGTAATGGTCGAGGTTGTGAAGGATCTTGCGACTTGTTTAGTGAACCTCATCCCCGACGTTATTACGATTGTAGTTGAGCCGGATTTCTCGAACGAAGCTGCCTCTGAAATGCCTTTAGTGCATTAACGAATATGGCATCTTTGACGGACTTCTTGCTCGAGGAAATTCTCCATGCAAAATAGTTTAGGCGAATGCAAGCCATTAAGTTCAATAAGCATCATAAACCATTATAAAACACTACCTAGCTCCATATCGTCTTTAATTTTTGATCAGATTTGTATGAGAGCAACAAACTGCCACATTTAACATTTTTGACAAGCCACAAATAGCTGGTTTGTGGTATATGTCGCCCACGCCACATATAAAGTGGCCTAATCATTATTCATGTAATAACTCTTGTCAAATTTCTAATAGATTAGTGTATTCCAATCTAAAATAGATTGAAATACATTAGATTTGAATCAACCTCTAATTTCAAAACCTACATCATTTTTGTCATAATGTGAATGTGATCAAAGATGAAGATGAAGAAAATGAAATATATGCAAGGATGTGTAAAATAGACAATTGAATATCCGCCGTCTATTTTGTTTAATTTTGCATGTTGTTCCATCTAAATTAATGAGTTTTGCGATAACATTTTGTGTGTTCTTTATTTTTGATATCTTATGTGTGTTTTATTTTTACTAAACACAAAGCATGTTAAACATAAAGGTGTAATTTACGTAGAGCAATTGCTTTGAGTAGATTTAACAATCAAACATTGATAATGATACTCAATACATGATCGGATGCTTTTCCATTTTGTGAATTTGATTGCATTTTGAGTAGTTTGAGACTTGGATGTTGCAAACTACTATAAAAGATTCGATTGTTCCATTTTTTTTACATTTGTATTCAAGATTTTTTTTTTATTACTTAAGAAGCTTGATATACTAAACTTTTTCAAGAAAAACCTTTTGAGAGTATCAATTGGAAGCTACAATTGATTACGTTTGGATTTTAATCAATTTACAATTACAAATTACATTTGAATTATTATTTTTTGAGATCTTTTCTCATGTACTTCATCATTAGTGCAAAAATCTCTCAAAATTCATTCTTCTTCATTAGACTATTAAGCCTTCGGAGGACTTTCATAATTCTTTTGAATCTATCAACAAGATATTTCAAATGTCTTCTGTGTGTTTTATTTTTGGTACCTGGTGTGATTTATTTATGCTAAATTAAGCATTTATCTGTACCTTTTCTATAGTAATCATTCTTTGTGTCTGAATCAAGTTAATTTATGTGATTCAAACTATTGTTTAATATAAGCATGATTAAGCATATGACATCATCATATTTTGTTGTAGATTATTAATCAATAAAATAAGTATCTACATATCACAATGAATTAACATACTTAAAAGTGAGTGATAAAATTGCAAATTATGAACTTGAGATATGAAAAAAAACTTCTCAGAATTTATAATTTATCTAAGAATATAAATAATAAAAATTAATGATACAATCATCAAGTTGATTTGTATTTTTGTGTCATAATTTTTAATCTTGAAGCTCATTAGCTTCAAAGAGTCATACAATTTGTTTTACAACTCTTTGCAATTAAATGGTTTTTCAAAAAAGTTAACAGTAAGATATAATTATCATATTTATCCACTTGCTTCAGGATCAAATGTTGTAATTGTAGTATGAAAATATACATGATCTCCTCCTTAAGCTATTTCTAGTGTCGTCATCGTAGATGTACAATCTAGAATTCAACGTTTTGCCAACACTTCTAGACTTCAATTTGCATTTTATCCCAAAGTAAATAGTTATCACATCCATCATATTTGATTATGTTGTATCCTGCTCTTCTAGATTTTATCATTGTCATCTTGTCCGTTCAACATTGTCCCTTGTGTCTTATGTACAAATTATTATTCTTCTCCATTCATATAAAAAAATTTCACACATCAACTATAAAACCCTAGGATTTAGACAAATTGAAAATTAAAAAGTAGGTCTCAATCGAGAATTGAGACCTACTTTTTATCGACAACACTAGAAGTTGTACCTCAAGTTAAGTTTAACTTGGCTGGATAGATGGAGGAAGAGTGCTTAATGCGTTAAGCCCTCTTCTCCTCTCATTCTCCGTATTTTTAAGAGATGTGACGTCTTATACGCCGGATCCATCAGAAGCTTGAAGACTTGGAAGTCCAGTCCAAATTGAAGGAAAAGGAGACGACCATAAAGATGGAAGCAGAAGACCAGAATTCTTCCTTGCAAGCAGAATTCGTATCTGCCAAAGAAGCAACGGCTCTTGCACACATATAGAAGCTTCTTTTTCAAGCAGATGAGATCAACCTTGCACGTGATTAGAATGCAAAACTGGAGGAACAATCAAAGGCTGTTGGAAATCAAGCCAAAGATCTTAGGTACGAACTAGGAACCAAAAGCTCTGAATATGCTGAAGGAAATATAGCTCTCGCGAGAAAGGTAATAAAAACTGCAGGCCTCATTCGCTGTTGCTGGGTCAAAATTAGAAGGAGCATGCCAGGTTAAAGTACTGTGTCAGATCAAAATCCATGTAGCCGCTGTAGAAAAGTCAAAGGGTACCAGCAAACCTTTAGAGAGCAAGAATTCTCGGCTAGAAGCCCGTCTTAGTCTGCGACTCAGATAAAGGAGTTTGGCAAGAAACTTCAATCTCAGATCCAGTCTCGCATCGCACACTTGAAGAAGAAGGAAGAATTGCTTAGCCCAACTGAGTCTAAAGCCAGTATGCCAGCTGGCATCAGCTGCTGTAAAGATTACCTCCCTTGAGAAGGAGCCGAAATAATTTGTCGATAGAGCCAGAGAGTATGAGAGCAATGCGAAGTCCCGTGAGAAAAAAACAACAAATAGTATGAATTGAGTTCGAAAGCCTGGTCAAAAAACATACGAAGAAAGCTCCAAATCACATTGGAATATGGTGAAGTTTTTAAAAAACAAACTATCGGATGTTAGGGTATGCAGATTGCATGGGAGTTTGAAAGACCTTAGTCTTCTTAGCTACAGAACGTTGGTTGTATCAGTGCAGGTCACAGGACCGAAGTATCTTTTGACTCACAATGGTTAACCAGTACTGTACAATAATAATATTATTTTGGGAGGGTTTAGTTATCCTTCAGTTTAGGTTAATTTTCATTCACTATCCGGAATACTCTGTAAGTGGTAAGAGTGAATATATTAAATAGAGGAGGGCAAGTGCTTCGGTACAAGGGGGTTACGAGGTTAATGGTGGCCGGATTTATTGGGGGTTTTGTGTCAAATCTTCTTTTTCCTCCCAAATGTAAACCTCGGGGCTATCTTCCTCTAACCTCGTCAATGGCACAAATGAAATATTTCCCCCATTCCACCACCTCATCGGTTTGGCACACAACAGCTTCCACATGAGACCATTCAGTCACTGCAGCGTTACGAATGTTTCTAGTTTATGCCGGACGGTGAATTCTGCATCTATCGGTGGCGCACCTTTCACTAGAGAATTTGGACCATAGATCCCGAAGCTGCGCGGCATATTAGTTTTGTAGCTAGCTTCGACTCGATTAGTCTCGTCACTCGACTCCCTCCGATTCCATGCGCGATGAGATGAAACGCCGCATCTATTTGGAGAATTGTAGAAGACATCGAAATTTCCATATATATATTTCTGTAACAAACAAGTTTCAGACAGTCAATATCCGGAATTCCTCCTACGAAGAGTAGAGTAGAGAGAAGACAATTGATCGTAATTAAGGTACAGTTTGTACTATATTTTACGTTTCTCATCTTACCTTGTCCTTTCTGTTCATTATTTCAAAGCATACATGGTCAACGCTAGTTATAGTTGTTTGAATGGCGTTTTTCTTCATCGTCTTTCACATTTATTTCACTTTTTCTTTTTCATCTCGTACTACGTTATTTACCAATAACATTTTCTTTCCAGTCAATTTTTTTTTACCTTCGATCGACGATCTTTTTTCTTTAATGTCGAGGCTACGTGCACTGGTTGAGAGCTCGGAGAATATTTCCTCTTTCCTGCCGTGTACGCATCTCTTTGTCTTTAATACCCTCAATTGTCGTGTCCTGTCAGCCATAGTTCAGATGAACTTTCACTACATTTTTCCTTTCATCCAAAGCTAAACAAGAAGCATTTAAATTCTTCTCCTCAAAATGAATATCTTACAATCTGTCCAACGCACACGTTATAAATTATGCAAAACGAGGCTTTAATTGAACAAAAAGTTCTGCACATGTTCCATTCTCGCTTTTCGCCTCGAGAAGTATGATACTCCTACTTCCTAGAGCTAATTTAACACCAGAAGGCTTTCCTCCGTTGGTCAATATACGAATCTCCCCTGTACTAACCATGATACATAGGTTGCCTGCCGCGAATACTACTCTATTTCAAAGAAGGAAAAATGCGACTCTACCATTAATTTCTCTTCCTCCGAGTCAACCTCATCAGGATATGTACAAATCCCGATCTCAGCACAACGACATTCACCTTAGATATCACGATTGATTTACACCGGTTCGATCAGTATACTCAGAGACTAATTTGGAGAACAGAGAGTTTTTATCCGATAGTAGTCTGTCCGGCGAACCATTTTCCTTCAGATAACCTGCATATTCACGCAAGTCAGCACATCCTCAGAGTAGACTGGCACTATAAACAAATCAACCTTCAATTGACCTATTTACACGGTGTCCGTTTTGTTGCTAGGGTTACATGGAAGGTTGAGACAACTCAAAGACTTATGTACAGAGAAAAGAGTGCGTTCAACACTCACCTGCATCAAGGACGAGAACCCTGTCTGAGTCGATCACACTAGGAATACGATGTGCCACACTGATCACTGTGCAATCCCCGAAGTGCTCTCTTATTGTACGCTGTATAATACCGTCAGTAGTAATATCCACAGATGCCGTTGCCTCATCTAATACAAGAATCTTAGCTTTGGTCAACAAGGCACGGCCTAGGCACAACAACTGCCGTTCTCCAACGCTCCAATTTTCTCCTGCTTGTGAAACTGCAGTATATTTTATTTACCTTTGTCAGCTTTTCATCGGAGCGATTACTTCCCGGAACTTGAGTGTAACCAAAAAAACTCCTACAAGTTACAAGTATCTCGACATGCTGATAATGAACACAATTTGAAACATTCGACTTACCAGATGCATTGAGCTTTTCCGGCTTACTCCGTACAGATTCTGCCAGCAGACAGTTTTCCAATGTCTGGCACAGTGACAGGAAATATGCAGAATTGTCATGGTTAAAATGTAAGCACTTGAACCCACTTAAGCCACGAATCTTGGTTATCTCACTATTGTCACAGTGAACTGCTAATCAAACTCATAGGAGATAAAGAGAGATGAAAACAAAATATGGCTTTCATGAATGATCTACAGCTCACATTTTCTTCGTCACTCCATTACATGTCAAAAAACTCAGGTTAAATCGCAGCATTCGCATTCAGAGAAAAGAGTCAAGAGGATACCTCCCAAATCTCCTGGTCGGAATGCTTATTAAAAGGGTCGAGATTCGTGCGGAGACTACCCTCGAATATGGTAGGCTCCTGAGGAATGACACTAAGGCGAGTTCTTAAATCTGAAAGCCCTATGGTAGAGATGTCCAGCCCATCAATAAGAATACGTCCCCCGGATGGCTCCACCAATCTGAAAAGCGCTTGAATGAGAGTAGACTTGCCACTACCAGTTCGCCCCACTACTCCAACTTTCTCCTTCGACTCCAGCACGCACGTAATTCCTTTCAGGACGAGTGGTGCAGTTGGTCTGTATCGAAACTGTATCATAAAGAGCAAAGTTGTTCAATTACAAAAGACTTCCCTGGCCCTATCTCAGGGGCAAAGTAACTTCACGCAGATGTGAGATCATTCTCTTAAATCAATCGGGCTCACAACCAATCAACAAGCAGATACAATATCTAATAAGCTGTTAAGTTCAATACACTCGATATTCTAGTTCGTAGGTTTTCCATAACTCAGCAAAACCGCAATCTTGTCTATAACTGAGCTGCTACGAGGAGCACAAGAAAATCATACAACATAAACAATCTCCTTTCGGTATGTGAAAACCGCAACCAATGAACAGAGAACACATGTCTTGACACCGAATAAGACAATTCACTGAAGATATTGAATTCAAGAGAGGAATCTCCTCTGAACTCTGGAAAAAGGCTTCATTGAATACCTGAAGATTTTGCAACTCTATCTTTCCTTCATTCGGCCACTCAATGGCAGGTCTATGGTCTTCGATTACTAGAGGAGCTTCAGTTGGTAAGTCCGAGTATTGACTGATGCGCTCAACAGATACTAACTTGCCCTCGGTGATTGCAAAATTATACATTAGACCTCCAAGGACGCTGTTTACTCCCAGCGCATATGTCAGAGCTAAACCTGCCATTCCTGCACAATTCAGAAGGAGATTAGGTCAGAAAGTGTCACTCTTTCATATCTTTCTCTCTATGATTCTTTTGAAGGAAACATTTACCAAACAGCCTGGTAACTGACAACTTTACTTCTAGATGTCACCTACATATGTACACGACGAATTGTAGTCCAAAAAGATGAACAGCAAAGTACGACCACATAATTCAGAAAATGCCTACCTGCACCCAAGACATCTGGGGGGAGCAAGATGAGTAGAAATGCCACTGCTGATACCATGAAGGCGCAAATCAACTGCAGTCGGAAGGAAAACCAACAAACAAGAGACTGGAAGTGGAAGTAACATCTCTGATAGTCCTCGAATCGTTCCGCATTGGTCGCCGCGAACCATTTTTGCTCTTGGAAAGCGCGAATGGTTGTAATGCCCGCGACAGTCTCTCCGACATGCAAAAATACAGGAGCCTCACATACTTGTAGCACCCTGACGATTTCCCGAGTTGACGTAATGAAGTACATCTGCAATCAAGATACATTTAGAGATTAGAGACTGGAGATCGGGGTTATGGAAAGGGGAGAGCTTGTCCACTTTTCTGAGCATGTCAATTAACCAGATCTGAGAGCCTATCACACACAGGTTCGTTGTCTCAAACCCATCCTCTTTCGAGATCACCTCCAAAAATAAGCAGGAAACACTGGGCGAAAGTTTTAGACAGAAAAAAGGTGGACGATTCACATGGAAGTGTACAAGGGTTTATGTCTTACCCTCAGCTTCAGAAGGATCATTCCCAAGGGAATAACGAGGAACAAGAGTTGAGGCGTGACATAACTCGTGACAGCAATACTTCCTACCATTCCGACTAGGTTGAATATACAGAGAGCAAGAGCATTGGGCAGATCAATCTCCAGCGCGGCTTGATCAGAAGAACTCTGCGATAAGATGACGTGAGGCGTCAGAATATTCCAGTCACGAAACAACGCTGACATACTTTAAAACAGAATAATTCAGAAGGAAATGCTTGGAAACCGAAGGCAATTTACCCTGCTGATGATTCGACCAAGTGGTGTTGAGTCAAAAAAGGCCATAGGGGCCCGCATTATATTGCGGATCATTGTCAGATAAAAGGCTTGTGCTGTGGCAGTGCCCCAGAATGCGGCGGAAAGTGATCGCAGAAGAACAGCTATGACTCCGCCAAGAGTAAGCAAAGCGTAAACTGAGACATACGACACTTGCTTTCGATCACGCACACCACCGGCTAGCCACGAGTCACCCGCAACTTGGAGACCATAAGCGGCAACATTCAGGGCAACAACAATGAAGAAGAAAACGCCTCCAAACTTCCTAACCGCGTAAGTCCAGACAAGACCCGCTTTGATACCACCAATTCGGCGTTCTTCCTTTTGGATAAAATCGTCCTCCTCCCCATCTCCTTCATTAGTGTTCTTTGAGCCAGACTTTTTCAGACTCGATGAAGACTTAATCATGGATTTCTTTTTCTCCATAGGTGTGATCGCTTCAGAATTGGCAGAAGCATCTTCCTTCACTTGGTTGACAGACTGAAGAGCATCTTGAAGGGCATCTACGAAAGCCCCGAATTCTCGTCCTTCTTTTAGTAACTCCTCGTATCTCCCAGACTGAACGACAGCCCCGTCTTTCATGACCTGAGGGAAAATTACTAGATATATCAAAACGCACCTCACCTCAAGAGCAAGGGACAGCGAAAACTTTCTTTGTTGAAATGAAGTAAAGATCCAAAGGGGACACTCAGGGCAGTCGCCTAAGAACTTACGAGAATACGATCTGTGGCTTGCAAAAATTCCACTTGGTGCGTCACAAGGACAACCGTTTTGTTCCTTAAAGCTCCTCGCACACACTCCTGTAAGTAGAGAAAGTTCACAAGCTTGATTATACTTGCCGTTAAGTACTATTACGCGACTATTCGAGCTTCAGACCTGTCAACATCTATAAGTCATTTCTCGTCTTGCAACCTGTCTCCGTTGTGCAGTACACACTACGCAACTAGGTGACAACATTTACTTCAGGCAATAATCGATCTTCTCCTGACAATGATCACTTTCAGAAAAACACATAATTTAGCGTCGTAGTCGGCCTCATGTATTAGACCACGCGCGTTATGCACATCTCCTAATTCCCGATCATGGTTGAATCTCCTACCTGGAACATTTACTATGCCGCCTCCATCACTGAAGTGGGTAGTGAAGCCATATGCTGGCTCGTCTGGTTGAGGAAGTTACCTCTCTACTGATTAGACTAGTGCTTATTTACAATCCATCACTTCGTCCGGAACAGATATTTTTTACTAACTAAATCTATTTGTTAGGCAATCGAAACTTGGTTCGATATTATCTCCTGAACATTGTGCGTCGAGGGTGTCCGAGCGAAAATTCCCCTCCAAACACGGCGAGACTCTGTAGGCGTCAAAACGGGTTGAGTGCAGCTAGACATCCCTTCGACTACTACTACGATCAATCCAGCTGCGTAAACTTATTCTCTTCAGTCTATGTTAAGAAAATGCATACACAATCCGTTGACAAATAATACACTCAACCCCAGTCAGCCCATCGGAGCTTTCTACCAATCGATCGTCGGTCCTCCAATACAAGAAGGAAATGGTTGCAGTACAATCTCAAGGTTGCCAGAAGTGGGTTTCGACTAAGGATCCTTAGATGCGACTCATGCGACATCGAATCACAGGCATCTAAACGCATGGTATCTTTTAGAGTGGGTGTCAATCGGGCACACTTGTAATCTCACCTCAGAGGTTCGCCCTCAGAGACCTACGGGTTCGGAAACGACAGCCTTCGTAAGACGTGGTCAGTTACATCCCAATCACTATACCGTTGGCTGTCCAACATGTTCGCGACATACTCCCACGTAGATACATGTTCTTTCCCACCCGCAGATCCCAAGGAAGATGGAGGGAGAAGAGAGCAGGATACCTGGAAGAGGTGAGAAGCCGTGTGCGCATCCACAGCGCTGAACGGGTCGTCAAGCAAGTAAACGTCGGCATCAGAGTACACTGCACGAGCCAGCTGAATCCTCTGCTTTTGACCACCGCTCATGTTTATTCCCCGCTCACCAATTTCAGTTTTATCACCATGGGGCATTTGTGCAAGGTCTGTTTCTAGGCCAGCAGCCCGAATTGCCTCCGCATACAACTTAGAATCCATCGGGCGCCCGAATAATATATTATCCCTTACAGACTTGGTCTGTATCCATGCTGACTGCGCTACGTAAGCAACACGACCGCATAGTTTCGCCTGTACAATCCAACGACATCAAAAGTCAGTCATTTCCCCGGCACAGATTTCAAGTGGAAGGGTCGACGCAATGAAGAATGCTAGAACTTTTGCGGGATTGTTGGACGTTTCAAAGTTTCGAAACTCTAATCTAGATAAACATTTGCAACTTAATCTCTCATACGAATGACAGCTCGTACGAACGTGTGTTCAGATTATCATCAGCATGACGAGTCGCACACCCACGAGAAGACAAGGAAGTGATGCAAAGAGGAAAGTAGGAGAGACATACGGAGCCCGTAAGTTTCTGGAGCTCTCCCATGATACAGTACAGCAAGCTTGATTTTCCTGAACCCACGCCTCCGCAGACGGCAATGCATGATCCTTTCGGGATTTGCAAATTCAGGTCACGGACAGCTAGTGAGTCCTGGTCGGAATTCCAAGTGAACGACGCTCTCTGGATATCTACGGCAAATTCGGAGTCGCAACTTTGTACTCTATCAACAGCTTTATCGTCGAGCTCATCTTCGCATAAAAAGACTCTCAAACGGCCAATGGACACCATCATTTGAATAACGTTCGAAACATTGTCCGGAAACTGCTGCACAGGTTCTTTGATGACACTAAATGTGGTCAGCGCCGTAAACACTTTGCCCGCATCCAAGGGGTCGCCCAGCCAAACCATTGTGTAGAAGGTGACGATCGAGACAGCCACGGGAGCGCCCCATATTGCAAAAATACTGCATGCCCAGGTGTACATGAATTTGGCAACCCAGTTTAACTCAATCGCCCGAAGCGCTTCAATTTTCTCGGTGAAAAGAGTATCCCAGCTCTGTAGCTTAATCACCTTCATATTGCTCAGGCACTCCACTGTCACTTTCAATCTCTCGTCCTTGGCCTTCAGGAAGTTGATGCGAAACTTTCTCATCAGGGATACTAGAAACACATTCAAGCTGATAACTATCAAGAGAGTGGACAACCCGGCGATCATTGCTATGCCAACAACCCAGAACAAAATACCCGATGCGACAACGAGCTGGAGAGGTAGAACTAAACACTGTGCGAGGGCCAGGTTCAACTGCAGGAACTTTTGCATGTCAGAAGATATCAAATTCGTGATCTCGCCTACGCTCCACCTCTGCTTTGCTTTGTTTGATAATCTGAGAGATTTGTAATACACTGCGGATCCAACTCCCGACCACATCTGAACTCCCAACTTGAATGATTGGAAAATCATCTGCTGCTTGGCAAAAGGCTCCAGAAATTTCCCACCGAACATAATTAACACAAACAAGACGCCCTGCCATATGACGCGTTGATCGGACTCCCGGTTGAGGTAGTCGATTATGAAGTAGAGCATGAGCGGTCCGACAAAAAATGCAACAGTCCAGAGCAAGGTCGCTACGACGGGCACAAGGAAGCCGACCCAATAGGTTTTGATAAGAGCGCTCCACAGGGACGGTGGAACGCCCGAAAGTGCCTCACGCTTGAGCTTCTCCCACTGAGTGGAAAACAGGGTGTAATTGTAAGCAGCATCATCTTCCCAACTCATGGGTGGAAGATCTTCGCGCTCCAGGGGACGCTTGTAGCCGGAAGCTAGGACTCCATCAATCCATGAGAAGACTAATCTGGATGCCAATCCTGCCTTGCTGTACCCAGACAGGTCTGGCGTTTCCTCGTCACTCGTGACTTCTTCCAACAGCGGCTGCTTCAACGAAGCGTCGGTGGAGCGCAGACTCCAGTTGTAATTTTTCTTGTAGATCAGAGTGGTCGCATGACCTGACACATACAACAAGAACAGAACTCCCGGCGCAACAACGAGAAGCAAGTCGAGGGAGAATGCGAAGGTGCGCAGAAGAGTGATCATCGACACAGGAAATGACACGAGGAAGGCGACAGAATGCCATACTTTGAAAGTCGTCTCGTACAGGGGTCTCTCGTGAGTTTCCTCTCGATTCAGCCCAACGAAATTGATAAACCATCCGAAAGCCTGGAAGCAGATGACGAGAACTTCTTCAAGAGGGAAATTGTGATAATTTGCTTGGCGCCAGTGACGCAGGGGAAGGATCAGGCCGGCCAACAGCAAAAGACAGACCAGACCGGACAGCCAAGTGAAGAACCCATGGACTGTCGACAGAACTCTAGGAGGTCTACGAGAGAGCGTGTCTTCATTCTTTCCTTGGATGATGATGTTCACGGCGAGGACAATGCCGAACACTAGTTGAACTACCCCTAACAGCGCAGGCAAGGAGCAGATTTCATAATTCAAGGCTCCCAAGACGAGCGAGACGAAGCTGAAGCCATTGAAGTCGCAAGAATCCGGGGGCATCATTTTGCACGACGACAGCGACACACTCCCCACGCGACCGGCTCGACCTTTCTCTCTACAAACACCGATCCATCTCGGACCCGACTGGCCTCACCGCCGAAGAGGAACCGCCGGTCGCCGTCTGCTGCTCAAAACTCTCAAAAGATTTCGTCTTCTCGCGCGTCACATGACATTCCCCAGGCGATGATCGGACAATGCCGCGGAGGGATGATGGTGAATCCCAAACCTTTGCTGCGAGGCAAGATTCACACGGGACACAGCTAATAAGGTGACGGCTGCAGCTGCGGCAATCGCTGAGGCCTGTTTATTCAATCTTCCGACGCGAGTCGGAAAAGACTCTTACGGAACGCACTTTTTTTATTTCTCCGCGGAATGTCAACTCGAGAGGCGTGCCCGTCTCTAATAAGCGCGAGGCAGGACTCGATTCAAACTCGATTCCGGGTACTCGGCCACGGGGACGGATGCAGCCGCGCCTCTGGACAACAGTCACAGTACGGCGCCTCACAGCGGCTCGAGCAAGGGGGCGCACTTGCAGCTAGTTATGAGGCGCGGTAGGCCCACCTCCGCGACAGCAAGCGTGGCAGTTCTCTTGCTATTATGGCCAGTGCAAGTTTTGTCAAGGCTCTTCTGCGTAGCAGATTCTGCAGAGCTGCCTCTCTGCCCAAGACGAAAGGGGCAGCATGCCGGTCATCAGACCTGCGCTGCCGGTCCCCGCGTCCGCCGACCTCACGTAAATTTATTGCACTCTCGCCTGCGCTTCTCACCAAACAGCTTATTCCGTCATGGCGTACATGACGGAATCCTGCGACTCGAGGTCATGACCCTCTTCCACATGACACGATATCTCCGACTATCGTGTTGTGATTTGAAACTTTAGACATATATTACTCCGATGTCCGATTATCGAACTTTGCCTGTTGCTTTCACTCCATATGCTACTCCTATAGTTTATCAACAACACTTCAAACAGGGGAAAGTGTAAGCATAAAAAATTTAACTTTTTTAAACAGTTTTTTCTCTTTGAAAAAGGTCTTTATGTACATGTATAGCATACTTGTACACAGTTTGTGAATCCAATGTTATGTTAAAGTATATAATAATTAGTTTCCGAGTAGGTGAGATATTATATTTGCTTGATTTTTCGGAGTGGATAATTATATGCAAAAATGCTTATATAAGTCAATGTACTAAATTAAGTTAATTTAGTTTCATCAGGAAAGTTTTTTTAGACGGCCGTTAGTTTCTCGCGAAGAAACTCATGTCACGAATGGTAGTTAACTCCAGGTGCAGACCTAACATAAGAGTGACAATATAATTTTATTTTTTGCATGACAAAGAAACTTGTTTACAGATTTTTTTTTAACTGCATCTATACTTACAAATAACCTCGTAAATTTCATTCAACGCTACACTTAGGAGAGTTGCTGTGGAACTCATCATGATTGCTGGAAGTGCGGCTAGTATCTCTTATAAAACTGCTCGGTAAGAGAGAGCAATGGAACTTATCACTTCATTGGTAAGTTCACGACGGGGCAAAAACATGCAGTTTTACTTAACTCATAGTCTTTACATTCAGATACATGTGCTTCCTAGCATTCCATGACATTGTGCTTTCACATCACAACATCTTTGCTTCCAACCAGTCTTTGTAATTCAAGATTCACATGCAGAGCTATTAGCTTGTCCACTCAGTTGGATCATCAATGCACATCAGATACCTCTCTCTATTCAAATTTGCAATACATTGGTGGTTTCGAGAGATGTGAAGTTCCATTTGCACACAATCTACATTTTCTTTTGGAATCATAATCGTGATTCTCTGGGTTCAATTTGAATCACATCACTTGGCGTGCCCTGCACTGAGTTCCAGCAGCCTCTTGTTTTCACTTTTCGCAAGTGCTGCTAGTATCTGCTCCATAAGAAAGCAAAAACTATTGCATGTTACTGAAGTTAACACTAAAATGTTGTGGTTTTTTGCAGAAAAGTGCCCGTTTTGGTTATGCTAAGTGAGAAGTTAGAGAACCTGGACCTCAGAGAGATGTCTTTTAGTACAGACTTATCATTGTGGTTAACGAACAGAGTCTTACCGTTGATTCTTACGCCACGTGTGCTCAAAATACAGATAAGTATACGAGGGAATAAGAGAACAATTCTAGACCCAATCATCATACTTATACACTCAAATTATATATACACTCAATGTATAGTTTATAGTTTTAAGCTTAGAGTTTCAATCAAATTTGTTTGATAAGGAATTCTTTTCTCTATTTCTTCGTCGGCATGGACTTTTTATCGCGCATTTTCAAAAAGCGTACAAACATTCAAATATTATAACGAAAGAATGAATCCTTCCATATGTCGAACTATTTGAAGAACCAATCACCGTTACTTATCAACCTCCAACCCCTAGGTGTGTCAAAATTCTGCTCTTTTACTTTACATCATATGCCAAAATTAATGAAGAGAAGCATTCATTTTCAATATCAGTTAATGAAAACGGAAAGTTAACATTAAAGATTTTTTACGCGTTAACAGGTGAAAATAATTTTCACGCTTCTCTATGACAAATTACGTGTCTCATTTTCACCTAGGCCTATACGGATTGTTGACTACATGACCAGTCAAGTATACAGTACTAACCCCATAAACCTACACCACATTCTTCCATCTTTCACATACAAAGTATGCGTCTGCTTATTTTAAATACTCTCTCACATCGAAAAATATAATCTGATATCGACTGGTCATATTACTGATCAAAGCAAAAAGGACATGCCCACCACCAGTTAATTGAGATAAAAACTTCCTCTTTTTTTTGTTAATCGGCATCCTTCTCCTTCATGGAAATTTAGACTTAAACATAACTCGTTTTTTCCCTCCGTTTTCATTGTGAAAATACAAAACCAGTACATTATGCGAGTTAATCATTACGGTCACCGGGCTTTACGACCACACTGAAGTACAAAATATTGCGATTACAACGAGGCCAGATTCTTTAGGATTAGCGCATATTTCAAGAGAAATGCCTATCACTGGATCTAGTTTAGCGCTCTTGATTTGAGTAATCAGTGCTCTCTCAGGAAACAACGACGACGACACTTTCGTCGTCGTTGAAACTTAATGAATCATTGCCGAAATGGTCGTAAATGTCTCAAATTAATGCGAGAAATCATGACATGGGTCATATCACCTGAAGTGGACAGAATGTCCCGATGTTACGTATAAAATGGTTTGACCCTTCGGATATATTCAGGAAAATTGTAAGGATAGCAATTAGTTTCTGCTTGATATGAGAGGATTCTTAGTAACTTGATTGAAAATATTCAAGGGTGAAAATCCTTCTGCACATCAACCTACAAGTCGGCAATACTTGATATGTGTGAAATATCAAAATTACCTCTCACGTTTTATTCAAATTTGTGAAGCTCAACGTGGATAGACTCACTTTCAATTGAAGTAGTGCTATGGTTTCATCGATTGCGCTTACAACGTTATATTTCTTTGAATTCTGTTTCCTGGGTTTCATATCATATGGTTCAAAAATAAAAAGATGCAAATGGTTTACACTCTTAAATTTTCCTAAGAGGGTATGTCTGAATCTCGTCTTCGTTCTTTAGTAAGACTCTTTTATAGATATGTCAATGTAATCTAGAAATGATGCATATCACAGTGTTGACAGTTGCACTACACAGATGCACTCAAAGAAAGTATGCAGAGACGATATGAATTAGTATCTAATTCAACTCTTACATTATACAATGCAACTCTAAGTTTATATCAACAAGATCTATGATAAACTCATTATATACTGATAAAAAAAAATTAAACTTCAATCAATTTCCAACATACAGAATTCAAGCCAATTGCAATATATGAACTATCAGTAAAGAATTAAGTTTAATATTTCAATTACACTGCGGAAAATTTTTATAATGTTTTGCGCTTAAAAAATAATCTGCATTATAAGATTGAAAAAAATGTAAAGAAAAATTAGTAAGAATCTCTACTCTCATTTCCAATATTATCTCTAAGTCATGATTACATAAATTTAATATATAATACATTAAATATCTCACAGATCTAATTTATATCACTAATGATGGAATACTCTCTCATGGTATATATTCTTGCATATTAAAAATCATAATGTCTCAATCAATACCAGGAAAAAAAATGTCTCTATGAGTGTAAAATATTTTATATTTATGCAGTATCGTGTGCATCACTATGAAGTAAAGAGCCATTGATGTTTTCATATATTATTGGTTTGTAAATGATTTCTTTGAAATGCAAAATTTTGAAATACTATTATTATAACAATATCAAACTCATTTGGAAAATAGTGTCAACTTTGGGTTTAATCAACACAATCATGAATGTGGTATATCGTAGTGATGAACATTCGGGATATTTGAATAATATGTCTCGGATTTCACTTGAATCTTTGAGCGCGCACGAGGCAGAGAACAAACTCGTCAAACGTACGCTTTTAGTCACAATGCCACGTAAATGGCTTTAGCACCTCTATGCTAAAGGAATAAAGCACACCATATCATTAATTGTTCTTGGGGGCAATAGCCCGTAAACTTTTATGACTTTGTATCGTGACACGGTTTTCACCGTGAAACTTATGGTCATCATTGTTTGCTTCATTCAATAAGTGCCACAATACATGAATATGTATTGGGTCAGCCTTTATTGCAACCTGCCGACAGTACCACCTTGCAACCATCTAGGGCCGTGGCAGAAATGCACACACATCGTCGTCTCTTGAACGCTTGTTGGAGGTTCGGCGACGTGTCATTTTCACGTACAAGCTGACATTTGACCTGAAAACCATCGACAGATATAATCAAAAACAGATACAATCGGATCTTTGTAGTCTCCTAAGAATGTACTTGTGATCATGTATCGATCAAGGTGGAGGACAGAGACGGAAAACAACAAATATCGAATACCCAGAGAAGTTCTTGACAATCAAAACAAAATTGACAGCAAGGGGCTCGCCCAAAATATGTGCTGTTGCACCTAACTTCACTGATATGTAGGTGCTACATCATCTACAATCAATAGATCGTTAGAAAAACTAACACCTACCCTGATATTATTGCTCAAGATACTACAAACTATCCTCCACAAATTCCTGGAAATAAATTGACCAAAATAAATTGGTTTTCCAGACTCTATCTCGCAACTATGTGAAGTTAGTGTCTACACCCCTATACAGCTCTAAACCTAGCCGGAAGAAAAATTATAGTCTTAAGGGTAATTCTCTCTTCACTATTATTCTATATTCCTTGTAGGCTACAGTGCATATCATATACTAAGATGGTCGGCAACACCTCCAGATATTTAAGTAAGACAACAACCAAACATGATAAGTATTTAAAATATTTTTTTAGAATAAATAAGATCAATCAATAAACAATATAGAATCA